GCAGAGAAATGTATCAATGTACTCTGGCTGGAGCTCGGGTTTCCTAGGCAACCAGTTCAAGACAAGTTTTAGTTTCACTTTCTTATCATGTACACAGACAGAGCACGTGTGGTCATGCATACAGAGGCTCGGTATAAAATGTATGTATGACACGGTTGTACGAACAGTCGCTGCAGTAATATTGTCCTGAAACTGATGCGCTTTGCTTTCTGTCATATACAGGTTTGTGTAGTAACGGCGGCGCTGTCTGTAAGCTGCTGTTTTCCAGTGTCCGCACAACATCTCACTATGTATCCAGAGCTAGCAAGGATCCTTCAAAAAATGTCTGACTGGATCTTCGTAACGATCTTTTGACTCTTCTGCCTCTCCAATCTAAGCGTTGAAAGTGAGATCTCTAGAAGTTACAGTTGTGGCGAGATAGCGACAACCAACAATCTTAGCTGCGTTGGCAGACAGTGACTCCATCCAGAAGACACCTTGAAGATCTCTGAGAAGTATAAACCAAAACTGTGAGGATCTTACAACAGTGAACATCGGAGAGGTCAAAAGATCATAATGTGATCCACTCAACGAAATGACACGTGGCTGAGATGTAAACTGGACCAGAATGAGGAAGGGAGGAGCTATCTATACAGAGGAACACTGAGCTATGGGGAGCGGAGGAGAGGAACACCGGGGACAGATGAAACACATACAATATTTTGAAGACCCATCACAATGCAAGTGACACATGATAGGCCTTGTATGACTTCTGGGAGGAGCATCACACACTTTTTTTTTTTTAACTGTTAACTGGGGGTCCCTACTAACATTCCTACCAGACCTAAAAGGTCTGGTATGGTTTGGGAGAAGGGCCCCGTACGTTTTGTTTTTTTTGCTGCTTGTTTACATTTTGCAGGGAAAACGGTCTGTTTTGGCAGAGTGCTTCGGTGTATGTGCTCGGCAGAGCGCTTCAGCCGCTGTACGGGCTCCGGCGGACGAAGTAAGCTGAAGGATTAGCCAAACCTACGGCTATATCCTTCAGCTCCTTGGCGCATAACGCCCAAAGTCATGGCCAAAGTGTTAAAAAATTTAGACTGCAGTTTATATACGCTCCACAAGGTGGTGATGTCATATACGATTGGTGGAATGTGCAAACAGGAAGTGATGTCGATACAGACAGGAAGTGATGTCCGGTGTAAACAGGAAGTTCTGGGTCAGAGTTGAGTTGGGAGGAAGTAAAGAGGAGACATTGCTGGAACTGGCAGCACAGGAGGTAATAAGATGTTTTATATTTACACACGGTAACCCTCCTCCCCTCCCCCGTCATGTCCGTCCTCGTCCTTCATTGTCACTGAGACATCTTTGATCTCCATCCGATGCTGCTTCCCATATATAGAGGACAGATGCATCCAATACATAGAGACCGGATACATCCTAAATATAGAGCCATTTATCCAACTGTCCATCCAGAGCCGCCATTTATAGACCGGATACATCCTAAATATAGAGCCATTTATCCAACTGTCCATCCAGAGCCGCCATTTATAGACCGGATACATCCTAAATATAGAGCCATTTATCCAACTGTCCATCCAGAGCCGCCATTTATAGACCGGATACATCCTAAATATAGAGCCATTTATCCAACTGTCCATCCAGAGCCGCCATTTATAGACCGGATACATCCTAAATATAGAGCCATTTATCCAACTGTCCATCCAGAGCCGCCATTTATAGACCGGATACATCCTAAATATAGAGCCCTTTATCCAACTGTCCATCCAGAGCCACCATTTATAGACCGGATACATCCTAAATATAGAGCCATTTATCCAACTGTCCATCCAGAGCCGCCATTTATAGAACGTTGTGTAGACATTATTCATCCCGGGACAGTCCACATCATTCTCATGTTATTATCCATCTACAGAGAGGAGAGTCCGGTATAGATCACATGACCACATCAATTAAAAATGGAGAAGAACCGGAATCACATGAGTGAACGGATATTAGACCTCACCCTGGAGACCATCTACCTGCTGACCGGAGAGGTGAGGAGGATTCTGGGAATGTTGCCATCACTCCTATTATTGTAATGAGAAACAAAGCTGACTGCACATGTATCTCTACACAGGATTATACAGTAGTGAGGAAAATATCCGGTGAGCCACTAGCACTCAATAGCCGTCCTCAAGGGACATCACCCATCATGGTGCCTTCAGGTCATTCCCCAACGCCAAGGATGAGCAGTGACCAGAAGATCCTAGAAGTCACCCAGAAGATCATCGAGCTGCTGACGGGAGAGGTGAGCGGTGCCAGGAATTCTGGGACATGGTCCAGGAACAGACAAGGGATGTGTCTGGGTGGTGACTGTATCATTGTGTGTGTCAGGTTCCTATAAGGTGTCAGGATGTCTCTGTCTATCTCTCCATGGAGGAGTGGGAGTATCTAGAAGGACACCGGGATCTCTACAAGGACATCGTGATGAAGGATCAGCCGCCTCTCTGTTATGCAAAGATGGGAAAAAAGAACATGTATTTTAAGAAGATAATACTAAAGAGCATTCAGGAGATCATCTACCTGCTAACTGGAGAGGTGAGGAAAATTTATGGAAGTGTACTTTGACATCATCCTTATCTAACACAGACCTGACCATAAAGGTGAGGGGGATTTTAACGTTAATGTATTTATTTGTGTTTCTCACAGGACTGTGAAGTCGTAATGAAGACATCTCTTGAGAATAATACAAAAGTGAGAAGCCACCAATTGTCGTCAGGACTAAGAGAAAAACAGAGCACCATCACCGTGTCTTCGCTTCTGTTCTCGAGACTTGAGGGAAACAAACAAAAGGTTTTAGACCTCACCAACAAGATCATCGAGCTGCTGACAGGAGAGGTGAGCGGTGCCGGGAATTCTGGGACATGGTCCAGGAACAGACAAGGGGTGTGTCTGGGTGGTGACTGTATTATTGTGTGTGTCAGGTTCCTATAAGGTGTCAGGATGTCTCTGTCTATTTCTCCATGGAGGAGTGGGAGTATCTAGAAGGACACCGGGATCTCTACAAGGACGCCGTGATGGAGAATGAGCCGTCCCTCACATCACCGGGTAAGAGGAGAGAGAAGTACGGAGGGTACACCTAGATCCCCCATCATCTGATACACACATAGAAACAATGTATTCAGTCAGTGTGTGTGTTTCCTACAGATGGATCCAGTAAGAGGAACCCACCAGAGAGATGTCCCCGCCCTTTGTATTCCCGGGATTCCACCCAGGAAGATCTCACCATCCCCCACCATGATCAGGTAGTTAGAACTCAACACCTAGAAGTAAGTCTAAACTCCATGAGATGACGTTCCTGTTCCCGTAGAGCTTACTTTTCCATGTGTTCTATCATTTTGGGGATTAGGGTAAGAACCTGATGGATATGAAAGTTGAGGTTAAAGAGGAAGAAGAACAGACATTTGTGAGCGGAGCTCAGCAGTCTATGGAGGAAGTTGGGATGATTCTGAAACGTAAAGAGGAGGATTCCACTCTAGATATCGGCACAGGTAAGTAATAAACACGAGTGTACTGATTTACGTCTTCAGTTCATACAAAGTATGGGGTGTGACCAAAAGTTGTGGAGAATTAGCAGACATTCAGGAAAACATGAGGTAAGATGAAGCTAAATGATTAACGGTAGACCAGCAGAGTGGAGAAGCCAGGCCAGTTAGAGTCTTCATCTACTTTAAACTGAACAAGTAATTTCTTGGTCGGATTTAGGGGTGATGTGATCAACTCGCACCAAATGATCTTTTGCCAAATCTTCTACATAGAGAGAATTGGTGTCTTGGTCTAGATTTGTGTCCGTAACATAATACTGTCTGTGCTGCTGTTATCCAACATAGAAAACTGTACAATCGTTAATAAAGATAAGTTTTACTTTCACTCTATAAGAACCTATTTCACCACAGATATTGTAGAGGTATCGTAACCTAGAGGTTAGAGCGATCAGAAGAACGTAACTGCTGTGGTTACCATTATACCCATGTTCTATACACCACATGAAGGTCCATCTCCATTCCTCAATATAACGTCATGTCCCCAACAAATGAGGAGGAGATACCGTACACCACATGAAGGTCCATCTCCATTCCTCAATATAACGTCATGTCCCCAACAAATGAGGAGGAGATACTGTACACCATATGAAGGTCCATCTCCAATCCCCGATATAACGTCATGTCTCCAACAAATGAGGAGGAGATACTGTACACCATATGAAGGTCCATCTCCAATCCCCGATATGTCTTGTGACCAACAAATGAGAAGGAGATACTGTACACCGTATGAAGGTCCTTCTCCATTCCTCAATATAACGTCATGTGACCAACAAATGAGGAGGAGATACTGTACACCATATGAAGGTCCATCTCCATTCCTCAATATAACGTCATGTTCCTTTGGTGGTCAATGGGAAGAATGTTTCTTACATTGGTGGACAGTTCCATGTCGGAGCTCCTCAAACCTATTTAGTGCTGCACCAACATACATGATAGACCAACACATATTAACATTTCTTTAAAATTGTTTTCCAACAGACGGTCGTTATGTAGAGATCACGTCTGAGGGAGGTTCTAATTCATCTCCGTATCGTAACATTGAAAATAATGACAATGGACAATCTTCTCCCGGAGTAAATCCCATTACTCGGAATCTTCATACCCGCTCCAACCGTGTGAAGAAGTCAATGGATTCCTCTGATCCCGAGGAATCTTCTGATCAGTCACATGACACAACCTCAAACCTCCACTGGAGATTTCACGGTACAGATAGACCAACAGATTCATATAATCCCAAGGAATCTTCTTTAGGTCATGAAGGGGTTCGCACAGGAAAGAGTTCATTGTCGTGTTCGGTGTGCGGGAAAGCTTTTGAGGCGAAATCTGAACTTCTGCTCCATCTCAGATCTCACAACGGTGCACCCTTTTCGTGTTCAGAGTGCGGGAAAACGTTTGCTGAGAAAAAAGTATTTGTTGTACACCAGCGAATTCACACAGGCAAGCGTCCGTATTCATGTTCGGAGTGCGGGAAAAGTTTCACTGAGAAAGGAAACCTTCTTACCCATATGAAAATTCACACAGGGGAGCGGCCCTTTTCTTGTTCTGAGTGTGGAAAATGTTTCACTTTGAAAGGAGACCTTCTTCGACACAAGAGGATACATACGGGTGAACGTCCTTATTCGTGTTCAGTTTGTGGGAAAGGTTTCACTCAGAAAGGAGCTCTTGTCATACACCAGAGAATTCACACTGGTGAGCGTCCTTTTTCATGTCCAGAGTGTGGAAAAAGTTTTGCTGGGAAAGGAAAGCTTCTTAGACATCAGAGAAGTCACTCCGTCCAGCATCCTTTCTCATGTTCAGAGTGTGGCAAATGTTTCACTGAGAAAGGGAAACTTATTAGCCACCACAGAGTTCATACAGGTGAACGTCCTTTTTCATGCTCTGAGTGTGGAAAAGGTTTCACTGAGAAAAGAGCACTTCTTACACACCAGAGAATTCACATGAGTGAACCGCCATATTCATGTTCAGAGTGTGGGAAATGCTTCACTCAGAAAAGAAGTCTCCTAAGACACCAAAGAAGTCATACTGGTGAGCGTCCTTTTTCATGTTCAGACTGTGGGAAATGCTTCACTCAGAAAGAGCACCTTATTACACACCAGAGAAGTCACACGGGCGAACGCCCTTTTTCCTGCATGGAGTGTGGGAAATGTTTCACTGAGAAAAGAGCACTTCTTATACACCAGAGAAGTCACATGAGTGAACCTCCATTTTCATGTTCAGAATGTGGTAAATTTTTCACTGAGGAAAGAGGACTTGTTATACACCAGAGAATTCACACGGGTGAGCGCCCTTATTCCTGTTCCGAGTGCAGGAAGTGTTTCACTCAGCGTTCACACCTGCTTAGACACCAGAGAACTCATAAGGGTGACCGTCCTTACTTATGCACAGTGTGCGGGAAAAGTTTCACACAAAAAGAAAATCTTATTACTCATCAGAGAAGTCACACAGGTGAGCGTCCTTTTTCATGTTCGGAGTGCAGGAAAAGTTTTACAAATAAGGGAAATCTAATTAGGCATCAGAGAACACACACCTGCTGATGCTGATGGCACCCACATTTTGAGCAAATGGTGGGGGAAACATTTTCCACACTCTGGGATATTTCCAAATCACCAGAAAATGGACCTCTTCTCTATGGGACGCAGATTATGGTATTTCCTGTGTGTTTCCTTTCATCGTGACTTTGTTGATTTTGTCATCATTACCTTCACAGAAGAACCTTTTGGTTGCTGCCCGTCTCTGTTCTTCATTCTGCCTTGATGAAAAAGCTGAGTCAAGGAAAATATTTAATGGACTTTGATATTTTACTCAAGTTACACAAGAAATTTAGATGACATCTTTGTATTGATCATGAGTAATTCTGACTTTGTAAAATTAACAATAAAGTTCAGTGACTTACAATATTCTGTTGTGTCCTTTCATCCTGTACACATGACTATGAGCTCAGTTCATAGAGAGTCATCCATTGGTGATGGGAATGAGCTCAGTTCATAGAGAGTCCTCCATTGGTGATGGGAATGAGCTCAGTTCATAGAGAGTCATCCATTGGTGAAACAGAGAGTCCAAAAGGCCTGTTCCATGTTCGTCAGCTTCTATTCTTAGGTTTCAATGAGCCACTACAAATGCCACATGGAATATTCGCTGCCACCTTGGTTCTCCTCCTCAAGATCACAGTGATGGACTCCATAATTCATAGTTACATAGTATTTGAGGTTGAATAAAGACATTAGTCCATCAAGTCCAACCTATTGAGATCTCATTCTAGGAGTACCTGTACCCCTGTATAACATAGGCATTATCTACATCCGAGATACAATGGTCATTCCCTTGATCCAAAGGGGTACATTTTAATAGTGTGTAATTGAAAGTGAAACTTCAGCCATAGTTTTCCTCTGAACATGTGGAATGGTTACCTCCTCTGTCTGGTTGTCATAGCTGTGTCTACATTGGGGAAATTTCCCCTCACTTCCTGCCTTGCTGATATAAACGTGAAATAGTTCTTAACCTATCCTCACTCCATCTAACAACAAAAATATATCATAAAAGACAAAAATGAATTAGAGCTCAGACTGGGTGAGGGAAAGGTGGCTTTGGTCAAGATCCACTTGCAGGAAATGAAGGACCCCAGCAGTAGAGAATGTTCTGGGGTTATCCCTCTGGTAGCCCACCAGGCCTTCAATGCACGGTGATAGATGCATCAAAATAAGAGCTTGACATCTGGAAGCTAAATTAATATGACGGCTTCAATCAACT